AAAAGACCCTGATGTTGGGAAAGAGTGAAGGCAAGAGGAGAAGGGGACGACAGAGGATGAGATGGTTGGACAGTGTCATCGAAGCGACCAACATGAATTTGACCAAACTCTGGCAGGCAGTGGAAGACAGGAGGGCCTGGCGTGCTCTGCTCCATGGGGTCACGAAGAGTTGGACATAACGACTAAACAATGAGTAAGGGCAGAACAGTGTCTGGGTGGCCACTTTGAAAGGTGGCTCAGAGGTTCAATTCTCTATCCAAGGCAATCCATAAACAATGCCTGCCCAAATTTATGTTCACTGAGACAAGATCTAAGCCCTGTTCATCGTTAAATATGTTCCCTATGAGAGTGCCTTTGGTCGAGTGAACAGAGTGACAGACTTGGAGCTCATCCTCATAAGGGTGTTGCCTCAAACTGATGTGTGTTGGAACTGCACAATTCCTGCCCTTTTAGGTATGATAGAGGTAGGAGGAATTCCTCCAGAACTGGAAGGGAAGGAAAGGTACAAGAAACATAGAGGGACAGCTTGGAGCCATTATCTGTGTCTTTTTTCCTCCCTTACAAGATAAAACAGTGTGTTGTATTGAGCCTGCTAGGCATGAAACAGAGGGCAAGAGGCAGTGGTGCTGGGGAAAATAGCTCTGCTCCCCTGCCCCACCCCCTCATTTAAAGGTGCAACAAGAGTCAGCCCTGTGTGTAGAGGAGAACACCTCCATAGATGATGTCATTGCAGATGTTAGGGAGGTTCTAACTCTACACATCTTCATAGGAAGTAGCTTTGTTCAAGACAATATGGGGATAATAGGTCTCGAAGGACCTGGACTGCAAAAAAAAGGGGGGGGGAGAATAACCCAGTTCTCAAGTCAGGGAAGATAATAAGGAAGCAAAAGGGGCAAGGATGTGGTTGAACATCAGACAACATCTATTGACCTGTTCTGAATCAATGGGTAACTGAGCCATGTCATAAACAGCAGCAAATAGGATGTGTGGATGGGCTCAATAGACTCCGGTTCCAGCATGTGTGCAAAGCCCCCATGGATAACTGAGGTTCTCATGCTCATGATGATAATATTCCGCATGTTTAGCATGTCAGAAATGATGACGGAGGCAGTAGGGCTACTTACGATTATGTACCATCAAATAATTTCCAGCTTACACTAACCTTATGAATAAGTGACATCCCAAAAGTTATAGGATTGCTGTAAGCAGGCAATGACTTAATTAACCATCCTGCTAAGAAATTACAGTCTAGGTTCTTCTAAGAACTTATAATAGGTTATTCCTTTGTTGAGCCATGTCATCTCATGTCAGATCTTCCTTTTTACCTACTGTCTTCAGTTTTTCTGCCAGTCTTGCCTTTTCTAGTGAGTCTTGTGTTCTCATAATACGTTCAATCTACAGTAGCCTCAGTTAAGTCGTTTCAGCTCCTAGCAAGAGTTCAACCTTCGTCTGATCTCTGTGTGTATGTGTTGTGTGCTTTCAAGTCATCTCTGATCTATGGCAACACCAGTAGGGTTTTCAAAGTACTGTATGTGAGTTGTTCAGATGTGATTAACCATTGCCAAGTCCAAGTGAGTTTCCATTACTAAGTGAGGATTTGAGCCCAGGACTCTTGTGCCTTAGTTCAATACTTTGGATATTCGTAAAGCTCTCCCCCATGGGCACATTTCAAATAAGTGAGTTCTTTCTTCTTTCAGCTTCCTTGGGGCTACAGTGCCCAATTATTGATGCCTACGTAGGATTCTAATGGACTCCTATCTTCATTCTTTTTCCATTTCTTCCCTCTGCTGTCTGCAACCTTGATATTCTTAATTGCATTTGTTACAATTATCCACATTTGTTGTTGTTATCGAGAGCCTCCCTTGCCTAGGCCATCACATTCACTGTGTCATTTATCATAATCATCTTTCATTTGTGCCATGGTAGCTTCTGCAAATCATCATTGTGTTGAAAGAAATAATCTGTCGTTCATCTTCATCGTGGAAATCTTTGTGTGCTTCAGGAAATCTTTTAAACTCCGACTTGACTCTGATGGTCCAGTTTAGCTAAGGGCAAGTTCAATGCTTCTCTTTTCTCCTCCTCCTCCTCCTCCTTCTCCTTCTCCCAGTGGTTCGATGGGACGAGGAAGGACAGCTCACTTTTACCACTTCTACCTTCTCTTGTTCTTCCTGACACCACCTTCTCTCTCCCCCCCCCCCCTCTCTCTCTCTCTCTCTCTCTCTCTCTCTCTTTCTCTCTCTCTCTCTCCACACATGGGGCTGAGAGAACATAGCACCAACCACTGCCCTCTCTCTCTTTTTCTTTTTCCTCTCTCGTTTCTCTCTACCTCCTCAGTGGTAGGAGGATGGAATATGCATCCAGAGGTCTCAGATGCCTTGCCGACAAAAATAGGATTCAAATGAAGGGTGGTACACTTCCAACCCCTGCTCTAGAAGAAATAACAACAGAGCAGCAAGGAAAAGGGTAGTCATGTCATAAACAAGTGATTCCCAACCTTTAGTCCCCAGATGTTCTTGGACTACAACTCCCAGAAGCCTTCACCACTACCTGTGCTTGCCAGGATTTCCGAGAGTTGTAGTCCAAGAACATCTGGGGACCCAAGGTTGTACATAAACTAGTTCATGTAACGTTAAGAGTATTTGCCCCGTTTGGTGAGATTTTTGGAGAGTGCCTTCTGTTCAATATTGGCCCCAGGGGTAAGGTTTAGTTTTTTGGAAGGAGGGGTGTTCAGTGAAGTGCCTTTAGTGAAGCCCCTCTTAAGGTTGACGTAGGAGCCGTTTCCACCACCTGCTGGCATGCCCTGTTTTTAATCCAGTCCACGGGCCTACCTAGAAGAAGAAGGCAAAGCGTGCAGAGGGACTGCTATTCCTTCTTCGCACTGAACTCTTTGCTTCCTTAGAAAAGAGAGAAATCAGGCAACAAGAGCAGGACAGAAGACCCAGATATTCCCACCACCACCTCTGTTGTCAATAGATCCCCTGTGGAGTGTGCCTGCCTTGGCACACACCCGACAACACCAGTCTCCTGCTGGTCATTGTGGGTTGTTGTTTTTGCTGGTGTGAATTTAGCTTCCCGGTTCTGCAACGTTAACACTTCCGGTTATTAAGGATGCTTAGGCAGCCAACGATATTTTCCTTTAAAAAACTGAAGGGCATGAATGTTGGTAAGATGGGGTCCAAGTTCCAAGTCTGAGTCTTTGGTGCCAAGTTCTAAGTCCCAAGTCTGAGTCCTTATTGAAAACAAGCTTTTTTCCCCCCAGAAAAATAAAGGGAGGAATGGGTGAGTTCTGAGTCGCGAGTTGAGTTTGAGTCATTGCGGGGAGGAGGAAACAAAGTCAAGTCTGAGTTGAGTTACTGGTGCGACTTAAGTCCAACATGTCTTGCAACTCAGGTCCCCATCTCTGGAAAAGGAGATGTACACATTCTAAGATTGGGTATTGACAGATAAAATATATCTGGGGCAGCGATGTCTGAGTTACTAGGAAAAGGAAAGAAGATGTCCCCCCACCAGAGAAGAGAGTCACGTGTTGCTTTACGGGTGTGGATTCACATTTAGAATGGATTGCTGTAATTCCAGGGAAAATACAGTGCATCTGACTATGATACAGAAGGCTTTGACCAACTGTATCTGCTCAGTCTGATACTCAAGTGCCAAAGGTAGATGGATAACTCTTAAGGCACCTGCTCCCCATTCTTATTTATACTAGTTTTGCACTGAAGAGGCCTTCAATTAAAGGATATCCCAGAAGAAGATGTATTTCCTATAAAATACTATGCTGTCGCCCAAGGGTAACTGGAATGGGTGGATGTAATTATTATAATAATGGACTTCCTTTCTTCTGAAATGAGACTATTTTGTGATAGCTCCAGAGCAGAGGAACCACAGGTGTTGATGGATCATTGAGTGGGTGATGAACTAATTAATTAGAAGGCTACTTAAGTAGAGGCTGGAATATATTCAGTCCCTTTCAATCTGCATTTCTGACGTGCCAACTTGTTTATGCAAACAGGCCTATTATTGACCCTGTGTGTGTGGTAATAACAATAGTAAGTGCATTGGAACATGATGAGTCTTATGGGTATGATAATTTGGGTTGTTGAAAAGCTTTCTAGCAGTAATACCAATCTGTTCATGTTTTCTAATAGTTGAAAAGCGGATGGTTTGTTGTTTTTTATTTAGCTCTTTGGAACTCAATGTCTTTCAGATTGCTGGTTAAGTAATGGAAGCTTGCTATGGATTGGAATTTCGGCCCATCCAACTATATCGTTTTTGTGGTGACAGGCAAAAGCTGTTTAAGGTTGTGGCAGATAGCATTCTCAGTCCTGCTCTACCCAAATTATTTAAGGGGGTGGGATAGTTTGGATCAAGGACTCTCTGACGTGGGAGGAAGGTGTTCTGCTATGTTCCTCCCACACCAAATATCTATCACGCCTCCTGCGTAATTCCCATGGGTGGGTGGGACTTTACGCAGAACAAATGAAAAACACTGCGCCATGCTTGAGTAGTGCCATGACAACCCGCTTTACTTTCTTTTCTCTTGTTGTTGTCTGTTGTTTCTAGATGCATCATCCCATTCAGATGAAACCGGCAGATAGCGAAAAGTCCAACGGTAGGTTGTTAACCAGTTTCCTACTTAAATGTCACTTGCTCTTGTCACTTGAAAAAGGGGAGAAAAACAGTAATGCTTTATTCTTCTTTTTTGAGAGAGGGGGTGTCTTGCTGCTTTCTTGGTGGACTCTACTGTGTTGCTGGAACAGGACTAGAGGAAATATTAGGCCTTCTCTATAACTCAATTTATCTTGGATTTAGGAGGAACTCACTTCCACTGTCAGTGAAGGAGAATGTGCCACAATCATTTAGAAAACTTTGAAATAAGCAGGGGATTCTACAGATTGTAGTAAAAAAAAAAACCTAACATTTTCAAGTTCTGGTTGTAGAAAGCATATGAATACAGATGCAGTAGTACAGTAGGATCGTTGTATCTGCAGGATCAGTATCTATGGTTTCACTTATCCACATTAAAAACATTCTTTTAATGAAAACATTAAAAGAAAATTCCAAGAAATGTGTATTTCTACAATGTAGTTACCAGAACTGGCCACTAGAGACCATACTATGGATAGTGTTCAGGATTATATGCGGGTTTTGGCATCCATGGGAAGGGCTTGGAATAGGTTTCTTGTGGATAGAGTGTAGTTACCAGAACTGGCCACTAGAGGACCATACTATGGATAGTGTTCAGTATTATATGCGGGTTTTGGCATCCATGGGAGGGGCTTGGAATAGGTTTCTTGCGGATAGAGGGGTCCTACTGTACTCTAATTATGGGTTCCATTAGTGCTCAAGATAAAGCTGAACAATTGGACATTGGTGACCTAGTGGAAGCAAGATGACCAATTAAGTAGGTTTCTGACTCAAATGCTTTGATTGTCAGATTTGGCTTTTTAAAAAATGCACTATTCATAAGACAAATATTTAGTGCCTTCCTATGTCCTGTGTGTTCAGTTCTGCTCTTTAAGAAGCTGGTGGCTGATCCCCTAGCAGAGCCATCCAATATTTGCAAGCAGCTACCGTTTGACCACAGTATTTCACCCCTTGCAAAGTTTATCTCACTTCCCAGTCTCTAGGTTCGTGGCTTCTGGAAAAAAAAATACCACCCACCTTTAAAGTCATTTTAAATTAAACCGGTCGATGAGACGGAAGGTCCAAAACAACGAAGGAATGGAGTTGAGTAGGAATCATCTTCTCTCAGTAGCCTTTCCTACCAGTAAGGGAAGACACTAGAGATCACAGGCTTTGTAGATGCCGATATTGGTTACTTGATAGAACACTGTTCTTGGATAAGTTTTTGGCTAATCAGCAAGCCAGCTCTGAGCTTATGACTCCTTCAATCGTGCTGGGAAAATTGCAAAGAGATCTATTAGGTTTCCAAAAGGAACTACTCAGCAAGACGTTTTGGCCAGGTCTGTACAACTGCAAGAGTTATGGGTCTATCCATATTTCCTTAGTCCAAGCTAGAAAGGGACCTTACCGTTCTATACTTCCCTTAGAGGGAACTGTAGCTTTCCTAACAGCATCACAAAGTGGGAGAGACATAAGAACCTATCGCGGTTGATAGCCCTGTTGATCGAGAAGCAATGCTTCGCGAAATGCAAAATCTGCCGCTGATAGGTTGATGCATGTGCAGAGACAGTAGGCGGAAGGGAAGCCAACCCACTGTCTCTGAAGATGGCAGCGCTGGAGGAGGAAGAGGAGAAGGCGGCAGGACCAGGGAGAGAGATGGCAGGGATAGTGAGAAGTGGGTTGGCAGGCAACCGTTTTGCCAAAGCAAAACAAAGCATCAAGCAGGAAAAAGTTCAGCACTTCAGTTCGTTTTGGCAAAATAGGTTGCACGAAGCGAACCACAAACCCAACCACAAATCAGCTGAATTTGTGATTTTTTTAAAAAATTGCATAGTTCAGTTTGTGGTCATCTCTAGTCCGAACTGAGCTAAGTCGACCTGTGCAAGGAAGGGGCTCCCCCACTTTGGTACGTTTGGTTTTTCAACTAGCTCTGCTTGAGCCCCTTTATTTATATAATTTGCTAAGAAGCACGTAGAAAGAACTCTCCCGTCTTTCTTAAACCGCGAGAACTTTGCTTCTCCCACTTGGCAGAAATCATCATAACTGCTTCCTTCCAGTGGGCATCTTTGCTGCTCATTAATTAGTAATCAGGGCAGAAGCCATGCACTTAGAGATTTTAATACCTGCAAATGTAAATGATGGCTGGGCCCCCAAATCTCTCTGCACCATTTAGAGGGCTTTTATTTTCTTCTTTTCTTTTTTCCCCCTTTTCTTCTCTTCATTCTTCCTCCTCCCCTCACTTCTTTTCTCTCTGTCCCACTTGCTCGTGTCTCCCTGGATTCTGTAAAGTTCAGGAAACAAGCGGGGGGAGGCATTGTTTTCACAAAGAGTGCTCAAGCAGAAGAAAAACAACAACAGCAAGCAGAACTGGGCTAAGGTTTGTTCGTCTAACCAGTTTGTGCAACTGAGTCCCAGTGAATAGGATGATGGGCTAGGACTCTGGAGAACAGGGTTCAAATCCCCACTTGGCCATGAAAACTCACTGGGGGAGTGGAATTGGTAAAACTATTCCTTAAATATCTTGCTTATCTTGAAGGCCTGCTGGGGTCACTATAAAAGTGAGTTCTGACTTGACGGCATAGAACACACAAACACATAGTTGTGACTGTTCAACTACTTGGTCAAGTGTTGCCCATTGACTGTCTTGATCTCCAAGTAACCAAATATTTTCCGGTGTTTTAACAGATGCCTCATTTTGTCCCTGTGTCACCCTTACACATGGGGTTTCCCCCCACTATACTGCCAGAATGCAGCAGGAATTCAACCCCCCCAGCTAGAATTCTAGTAAGATTCCCCTTGACATTAAGTCCAGTCGTGTCCGACTCTAAGGTGAGGTGCTCATCCCCGTCTCCAAGCCGTAGAGCCAGCGTTTGTCCATAGACAGTTTCCGTGGTCACATGGCCAGCGTGACTAGACATGGAACGTTGTTACCTTCCCACCGTGGTGTTACCTATTTATCTACTTGCATTTTCATGCTTTCGAACGGCTAGGTTGGCAGGAGCTGGGACAAGCAATGGGGGCTCCCTCCGTTGTGTGGATTCAATATTACGACTGCAGGTCTTCTGACTTTGCAGCACAGAGACTTCTGTGGTTTAACCCGCAGTGTCACCATGTCCCACAGAGATTTCTAGTAGCTTCAACTAAACAACCCAAGATCTTGAGAAATGTCAGTTATACCTATTGGTTCTTTGCCAAGGCTGTGGTAGTTTGCCAAGGACTGGTAGTTTTTTGAGAGTTGATCTAATGACAGAGAGACTACCATCCTCTAATGCTTTGCAGTTTCCATGAAGTGTAGAAAGCTCTGGCCATGTCGTTCCTCATGCTTCATGGCCATCATGTACTGTAGAACGTTGGCAAGGAACAGATGTCTACCCTCTGACAACTTGGATCTTTCAGCTACAGCTGCCAGAATTCTATCTGGGGAAATTTCTGCTTCCTTCTGATAGCTGTAAGAGCGAGGGGGTTTTGACAGAAAGTCCCATGCCTTCAAGCCCACCTGGGGGAAGATGGGCCGTCTTGTGGTAAATCACATAGCCTTAGGTTTCCTCAAGGTAAAAAAGAATCTGCTTTTTGTCAGCCATGAGCTGAGCAGTGGCCAGCTATCCTCTAAATCTCTTAGTAGCTATCTCCGCTTACGACTCAGCTTCTGGAGAAGAAATATCAAGGAACAAAAATTGTTAGGAGGAAATACAAAGCGAGATGCTAAAAGTGTGTTGTTGTATTTTTCCAGGAGGTAACCATGAAAAGACCTAAAATACATTAAGCTGAAATGAGGGAAAACAGAGCATATCATAGTCAGCTAGCAAGGTTTCTGCCCCCTCTTCCCAGATTAATCAAATCAGGCAGATTGATAAGTTTTCACATCTGAAAACTATAAAAACACACTCATTTCCCATAGTAATGTGCATTTTCGTACCTAAGGCCTGCACCTGACTCACATCATCTATTCCTGTAACATTTCTTTTCTCAGGACAGGTCTGTATGATTATTACTACCTAATAATAATGAATAGGGGGACATGGTGGCACTGTGGGTGAAACCGCAGAAGCCTCTGTGCTGCAAGGTCAGAAGACCAGCCATCGTAAGATTAAATCCACGTGACAGAGGGAGTTCCTGTCGTTGTCCCAGCTCCTGCCAACCTAGCCATTTGAAAGCACATAAAAATGCGAGTAGACAAATTGACACAGTGTGTCCCCGAAAATAAGACAGGGTCTTATATTAAATTTTGCTCCAAAAACGCATTAGGGCTTATTTTCAGGGGATGTTTTTATTTTACAGTCGTGTCATCTTCTTCTGGTTGCTGCCCAAGGGTGGAGGGCGGGGTTTCACTGAAGTGGGGCTTATTTTTGGGATGGGGCTTATATGACGAGCATCCTGAAAAATCATACTAGGACTGATTTTCAGGTTAGATCTTATTTTCAGGGAAACAGGATAGAAAAAGAGGATTTGGGTAGTTGCTTTATGACCACGCCCATTTGCTTCTATACTCCCTCTCTGTTCTCAAAGAGGGAGAGAGATTGAAAGCACAAGAGCAAGTCCAGCCTCTGTCAAGGAAGTCCCAACCTCTGGCTTCGCAGCCAGAAACCTATGAAACACACACATCTTATGTGTATCATATATGTAAGGAATGTGGTGGCACTGCGGGTTAAACCTCAGAAGCCTCTGTGCTGCAAGGTCAGAAGACCAGCCAGCGTAAGATCAAATCCACACAATGGAGGGAGCTCCCGTTGCTCATCCCACCTCCTGCCAACCTAGCCATTCAAAAGCATATAAATGCGAGTCGATAAATAGGTACCACTTCGGTGGGAAGGTCATGGCATTCTGTGTCTAGTCGCGCTGGCCACAGGACCACAGAAACTGTCTACAGTCAAACTCTGGCTCTACAGCTTGGAGATGGGGATGAGCACTGCGCCCTAGAGTCGGACACGACTGGATTCAACATCAAGGGGGGAACCTTTACCTCTACCTAACAATAATGAATCTTTA